GTGTACTGCCGTAAGGAGAGATTCGACCCAGAATGTGATAGGCATGTTCGCTTGAATGAGAAGAGTGCGAACAAGATTGTTGATGGTTCGAAGCATCCTCTCAGCGCGCCCATTCTGTTGGGAAGTGTGTGGGCATGAGAAGCGGACAGCAGTGCCATTAGCGGCCAAGTGGTCAAGAAAAACGCGGCTTGTGTATTCGCCACCGTTGTCACACTGCAAAGCTTTGATAGAGGAATGAAATTGAGTTTGGACATAGGCAGAGAAATGAAGATATTTAGCATATGTATCACTTTTCCGATGTAATGGATAAACCCAAATAAAATGAGAGAAATGATCTAGAAATAAAAGATAGTATTTGTAACCCGAATGACTGGACACAGGAGACGTCCAGATGTCTGAATGTATTATTTGAAAAGGTTCAGTAACAATAGTTGAAGAAGAGATAAAAGGAAGACGAACATGTTTACCCAACTTGCATGCATGACACAAAGTCGTCACGTCTGCGTTTTTATTAGAAAAACCCAAAGAATGTAAAGAATGATTGACTGAACTACCCGGGTGACCTAAGCGCCTATGCCAAAGAGAGCCATCCACAGTGAGAGCAAGAGGAGAACGTGGAGGTGAATGAGGCGTCACCGAGTAGAGAGGTCTGGAGCTATTACATCGGAGAAGTTTGGTCCTGCTCAGAAGATCCTTAACAGTAAAACCAAACGGGTCAAACTCGACAGTACACTTATTATCAGTGACAAATTGACGAACAGAGATGAGATTTTTAATAAAAGATGGACAAACAAGCACGTTTTGAAGTGAGAGGTGTTTAGGAGAAGAAGATAGAGCAGTATTTCCCATTTTAGTGACAGGTACAATAGATCCATTACCGACTCGGACCGAAGGAGTGATACTCATGTTAAACACAGACGAGAGCATACCTGGCTGAGCTGTGATATGATTGGTTGCGCCGCTATCCATGTACCAAGCCGTGTCAGCCGGGTTCTGGAGGCTCATCGTATTGAAGGCGTGAGCGAGAGCTTGTGGAATCAGTGTAGGAGACGCAGCTGCTGGTGATATGGTATGAGCCATATGAGCTTGAGGTTGAGACGGGTAGGGTCCGAGGATGCTGTTTTGTTTCGGCGTCTGTTGTGTCATTGCAGCCGGAGAATACTGCGGCACCGGTGGCATCATAGGATGTCCTCCAGCATAGTACTGAAGTGGCCATTGTTGGGGAAAGCTCCATGGAGGATAGGTGAAGTTCTGTGACGCAAAGTTGTGCTGGTTATGTTGTAGCGCCCACGACCACGGTTTCCACGCCCTCCACCTCTGTTATTGTTGTTGCGATTCCAGTTGTTATTGGTGTTGTTGTTTCCTCTATTGTTGTTGTTGTAGTGACGAGTAGAGGAGTCAGACGCGGGGTCATCTGCAGCAAGTAACACATTTGGCGTTGATGTGGAGTCGTTGTGAGTAATGGCTGGTCGAGTTTGTCTGCTGAGTCTTTCTTCCTCTGCAAGTAACATAGATCTTGTCGTGTGGAAGCTTGGGAAAGGAGACCGATGCCGGATGACATTGTGTATCCCTTCAAACTTGTCGTTGAGGCCATTGAGACAGTGCATAGCAAGCTGTCGATCTGTCACAGGGGAATCGACATTAGCGAGGAGGTCAGACAGTGATTTCAATTTGCGGCAATATTCTTGAACCGCCATGTCTCCAATTGTGATCGTGCGAAGCTCGTTCTCCAGTTGCAGTGCTCTGTTCTCCTTGTTGTCGCGGAACAGATTCTCCAAGGATGTCCAGAGGTCACGAGCAGTGCTCTTGGGTGTGAGAATCGTTTCAACAAGTGAATCCGATATTGTGCCGTAGATCCACATTTTAACGAGTCCGTCTCGTTCTTTCCATGTCTTCTCTGTTTCTGGTGTAGGTGCAGAGGAGCCATCGAGATGATCTGAAACTCCAAATGTGAGGCAATGGGTTTCAAAGATCTCCCTCCACACATCGTAGTTCATCTTGTCGAGATTCAGTGTGATGGGGATGTATGCACGAATCTGACTGATGACAAACGGTTTTTCAGATGTGGGAATAGGGTGAGCAGCCATCATCGCGATATCAGTGTTGGAGAGAGAGAGATCAGTAAGAGAGATCGAAAGAAAAAGAAAAGAAAAGGAGAAGAGAGAAAAGAAAAGAGGATATCGCAGGCGAGAGGCTAGTGTTTAGGAAGCTAGGATCTGAAAAGCTTCTGATACCATGAAAGTGTGAATGTTTCGATGGATTTCTCATTGATCACAGAAGTATATTTATACATGGATTCATATCTATCGATATCTATCGTATCATAACCATATGGGAATATACAAAAGAATATACTTAGGATAATGGAATATCCTAACTAACAATAATGACAAGTAATTATGTTTCAGAATGTGAACAGTTATCATTGTTTACTAATCTCAAGTGATTTTCAAAATATTTTGGTAAGCACACTCAATCACGCAATCCTTGCTAACAATTACGTTGTCACAATATTCTCTGTTTACTGCATGATTTAATCAAAAGTGTTTAAGGAGAACTAAAGTGTTGACCGTATCCCCTATATTAATTGATGATCATTTAAAATGTTATAATCTTAAATTTGTACTAATTAAAAGAATCATATTCTATGTGGCAGTTCTCTATGCCTTCTAAATTCTATTTTGAAGAATTCTAGAACATCTTTATATAAATCATAGTTTTAAAACAAGATTCGTTAGTTTCATTAAGACATATTAAACTAAATAACATATCAAACTAAATCTCATATATATTATTTCCTCAAATAAAACCTACGGAGTTACCAAATGTGATTAAAATATATATGACTATTAATAATTTTAAATAATAAAGATTTTTAACAATATGTATACTTTATATCATTTTTCTTTAATTTTTATGATTAAAATAAATTACACAACTACACTCATCATATAATAAAAATTTATATTTTTTATATATTTTTTATTTTGAAATTTTCAAAACGAGTATAAATTAGTAAAACTATTCAAAACCTCACATGAACTTTTGTGATCAAGGTCTTATTTTTTTCTATAATAAGTTACAATGATTATAAAATTATATGAATAAATAATTTTATTTTAATAGGTGTTTATGGTAATATATATATATATATATATATATATCATATCGTATGAATAAATAATTTTATTTTAAACATAATTATAATTTAAATTTAACTTATTTTTTATACAATAATTTTATTTTAAACATAATTATAATTTAAAATTTAACTCGAACACAAAAAAGTGGAAAGATGTATGAACTTGACCCATTAAATTCTAAGTTTTGATCTACAGTTCTAATTACAATTCTTTCTGATCCTACGTACATATAATTATATAAATAATTTAAATTCCAAATACATATAAAAACAATAATATGAAAATTTTAAATTTGTCAAAACTAAAATTTTATATTTTAATTAAATATAATCACCCTGTGCAAGGCGCAGGTCTTATCCTAGTATAGTTTATTCCGGACACTACAAAAGTGGGTAAAATGTAAGATATGACACTCTAAAATTCTCAAAAATTGAAATACTTAAACCATTTAGGTTTATACTTAATCCAAATTAATATAAATTCAAATAACTATTACAGAACTTTAATTTTATACATGTTTCAACATTTACATGTATACCCCTTCTAATACCTACATAAACATTCTAGAAAAGACTAGCATAACTCTAAATTTAGTAAAAACTCTACAAATCAAGATCAGAACTATTATATTTTATTAACTTATAATTTTTTAAAGAAAAAAACTATACATTTTCTATTGTAAAATACTTTTTAATAAAATTCTTATGGTTTTATTCTTTTAGCTTTTGTTTTTCTTCTATTACTAATAGTTAAGTTTAGATTATCTGGTGTTATAGATTTATGAAAGTACATATATAAGCGTATGTCGCATAATTTATAGATATTTCAACTTAATTTGAGAAAACAAAAAACAATAGACTTTTTACATATATATATATATATATAAATGTAGAAATTAACAATAATTAATTAATTTTAAATATTTGAAACATAAAATTCAAAATTATATTTTATTTAAAGCAATTTATTTAAATATTGATATTTTATCATAATATGAATTATAAGAAATAGTTCAAAATAGTTTAATATTAAGAAGATTTACTTTTAAGAAGTTGGCAATCATACAGCAAGAAAAGTCATCACTGTTAGAAAAATGTCAATTTCGACCCCAACTATTTTAGTCGTATCAAATACGACATGAACAAATGGTCAGTGCAACTATGATCTCAACTCAGTTGTAATAAAAAAAAACTACCCGAACTTCTTAAAATGTGCTAATCTACATTGACTCTAATAGAAGTTAGTCAACCATTAATAAGATAAAACGACATTGTTATAATATACGAGGAAAAGTACCAATTTTAACCCTAATAATCAGTCATGCCAAATACAACCCCAACAAATGGTCAATGCCAAATATGACCTCAACTTAATTACAATTAAAAAAATTACCTAAAATTCTTAAAACATACTTAAATCTACATTAACTCTAATAGAAGTTAGTCAACTGTTAACAAGATAAAATACCGTTGTTTTGATTATATATGTTCATTCGAGGACTCAAATCCGTGTTATACCTTTTTCAAGGGGTTCACTAACAACTAGCCTAAAATAACTAATTAAAATATTGTTATTAATTTGAAATTATATAAATTATTATTCTTCTTTATCTTATCCAATTTAAAATTTTGGTGATGGTTATTTCTGATTTATATAGATACATTACCATGCTTTTACTTATCATAAATAAAAAGTTTATAATAGCTTCAAAAAATAAAGGTTTCATTTTGACAAAAATAAATATCGGGAAAAGGTAATATAAATTATTCTACTTAGAAGTTATAGTTAGGTTTATATTTGATTCAGCCTTATATCCGAAATGAACAATCTTAATTATGAAAATATAAAACATTATTTATAATTAGTAATTTATGATACAAAAGGTAGGTTTTAGGTATGGATTAAGAAACTGTTTGGTGTTTCATTTATCCAACAACACAAGGAAGAAGTTCACATAAGAACAATCTTTTTGGATAGTAACACAAAAGACGAATAGAACTCCAAACTGTAATAACCATAAAAGATGATGTGATGATGAGTCCACTCAAAATCCGAGTTCCATGGCTGGGATCATTCCACCAGAGGCTACAATCTGTTGCTCAAGCTGCGTATATTCGATCGACAAACAAAAATTAAATCAAGATAAGTTTCAAATGGTGATCAAATATGGTAAAACTCGGTAGAATTGCATAGTTGTGTTATATAGTCCTCACCTTGAACAGAGTCTCTAGCCTATTCTTCACAAGATAGTACTCTTGCTTCACTTGTTGCAAACATCTATGACATCTGAAATTTTCATCAATTTTTATTCCTTATCAGATATTAAAATCCAACAAAAGGTATAGACCGATCAACATATTCGATTAAACTCACGCTTCAACGTTTTGTTGCTCGCAGAAGTTGCGGAAGACAACACAAGCGTTCTTAACTCTCTGTGCTCCAATACTGTTTGTTGGCAACATCGCAGAGTGAAAAGCTTAGTCTTCTACACATTTCAAGATCTCGAAATGTATAGATTAGTCAAATATTGTTGATATTTTCTGACTGTTACCTGGAGCTGCTACCTTTGAGTTGATGAACATGAGGATCGACTTTTTTGAAGTCTACAACTTGTTGATCTCTGCAAAAGCAATAAGAAGAGTGAGAAAACTAATGCTAGACAGGAAGACAAGAAGAGGATTAAAGACAGAGTGAGTAATGAATATAATTACAGGGAAAGTGATAGATCATTAAGGATCCTGTCAGAATCTTGGAAAAAGAGAGTGACAACTTGTGAAACAAAATCTGGATTGCTTTCATCTTGTAGTTGTTGCAGCTGCAAGAACTGGCTATCCAAAACCCCCTTTTATACAAAACCAATAGACTTGCCATAATCAAAAACTAAATTTACATAATGATTAGCTTACCAAAGAAACTGCAAAGTCTTTCTTGATAGTATAAATTCTTAATTCAATACCCAAAACATTTCAATCTTCAATTCTATTTCCAACAAGAAATGGCTATAATTAAAACTTACTTCCAAGAAGAGTGATTTAGTGTAATCTTGCAAACTCTTCTGCATCTGAACCAAGTCCATCTTCTCTTTTTTTTTGTTCTCTGTTTTTCTCTGCCAATAGTGGAGGATCAAATTGTCTACCAAATCCTCAGTACATAAAAGATGAGAACAAAATCCTCCGTATCAAAAACAAATATTATAATTTTTAAAAATTGTATTTTATTGTTACGGTTTTAGTTTTATTGTTACAGTTTTGGTTTTGATGTGGGGGAAGAATCCACTGAATAAATCAACTTTAAAAATGGAAGTTGGTCGAGCTGTCAAGTGTCTAACCATCCGAGTCTTTTTTTTTTCTCCTCGTTCTCTTTTCCGCAGATATGATAAAGACATAAGATGCATTGATACTTCTCTCTTTGTCTTTTCCTTATTATTTTTAAAAGAAGTTTTATCAAATTTATAATTACTGTACACCTGATGAAAGAATATATATTATGCACTGCCTGCATTCAATGTATCTTACAAATAGCATCTCTTTGGGCGAATTTTTATATATTAATTTGATTGATCTTGGTTGATCTTGTCCGGCCAGTATTTGTTTATTAGAATCAAACATTGATTGGTTAGTTTAATTACAGTGATGCCTCACAAAATAGTAACGTAATGAGTTTATCAAGTGCACTGTGACTCCATCCATATATAGGCCAGAGCTGTTTATTGTAAGTCTCTTAGATTGAATCTCTTGATATAATATAAGATATGGTCTTTTAGCTTTTAATTGAATAAGGTAAAAGAGGTTTCTTATATCTGACGTCTTTAAATAAGAGATATAAGAAATATCTCTTAGTTTTTTCAGTTAAAAGCTAAATGACCATATCTTATATTACGTTAAGAGGTTCAACTTAAAAAACATGTAATAAACGTGCTTTAAGAGAATAATTTATGCTAAGTGGTTCTTAATTTTTTTGTTTGATTTCTTTTAAAAATAAAATGAATGAAACGTAGACCGTCACGTGTCAATAAAACCCGCAAACAGTATAAGAAACCAAACAAAGTCGCCTCTTACAAAAACGGAAGAGGAGCTGATTTTATCAAAATTATGGGATTCACCTCTTAATAACTCACTAAAAACAGAGTTAATGGTGGTCTAAAATCTTGTCATGTTGTACACAGCCCAACCAAATACAATATCTAATATCTATAGCCTATCCAATCCAATCATGTGGTGGAGAACTAGTTAAAATGCAATTTATTTTATTTTGTCCTCTTTAACATATAAATTCAGAAAACCACATATACATAAGGTATTTTGATCATTATTGTTTAGTTATGAACCATACAGATAATTATTAAATCATACATTAATAAATGGAAATTAATCAGTGGTTGTAAACTTTTTTATTTGTGTAATTTTGGAGTATCTTAGACAAAAGAAAAAGTCCATACTAATTTTTAAAGGAGTAGCGTGGTATACAGATGGACTCTCACTATAGATATTCAATAAACTGTAAGATATGTTCATACTCACGTGACCACAAAGTAAAATATAGTAAGTTGTCTTCGAATCCGATTCGTTCAACAATCCCAAAGTTTACTTATCACTAGACTATCACCTTGTGGTTAGTGGTTGTAAACTTGTAATGGGACTATTTTGTTCCTCAAAAGATTCTCCCTCTGTCTAGATTTCGTCCAACCCTCTCTAGTTTAACCCTTTTACGTCTCATCTATGTCTGTTTTGTATGTAGGGACAGGAGACGTTAAAGCAATAGGTGATGTGTTCTTAGTGGAGTTAACTTTTCCTAACTAGCAGATAACCAAACCGGTGTGGTATACAGCCTAATCATATGTCCATAACAACTCGGAAACCAACACGAGCTCTGTTTTCTACAAGATTCCTGTATTTCTATTTCGAAACCAACTTACGGTAAGTGCAAATTGCAATGACTCATAATCTGTATATACTTTTTATGTGAGACTTTTAAAATATATGTATATATATATATAACATATGAGACTTATATTTTGCTCTATCTTAACTCTTAATCACACCATTCTCATCTTCTAAATCACTACATATTCAGTTGTCACGTTTCTGTGTGTTTTCCGTCTCTCTAAATACTTACACAACCATACTCTCATACACACCATTCTTATCTTTTTCCCATGCATAGTAAATGTCGCATTCTAACTTAATTAAATAATATATTTTCTCATTGACACTTCCAACACGTCAAGGCAAATTAAACAATAGTATATTAGTATCATCACTGTATGAACATTTGAGTAAAGATCTTCATTTCAACACGCCTCGCACATGATGAATGGGACATGCAAGAACATACGATGCGTTTAAACCAATGGCACCAATTTTACTTTACCAACTATCAAGATGATTAGTGGATATTTCTTGATAATGCATGGACTATAGTCTACGAGGGCTGCTCCATCACTAATGGAGCATTCAAATCCTACTATGAATTTGCCGTCTTACATTATTTCCGTATAAAAGTTAAACTGTGTTTCCTAATTAGTTTATAGCAATTAATTATACGCAAAAAGTCAAGAAAGATTATGCACTCACCCATACCTCCAAGCAATTTAATATTAGAAAAGCATTGCCAATAGCCAAAACAAATTAAAAATGTAGAAATCTAAAATATAAGTCGCTGTAGAAGCAGCCAATTATGATTTCTTATTTACCCGAAATAAATACAAGGTGAACATGCATGGCGAGATACTCCATTTGCTGGTTCAAGGCCAAATTTGGGTTATGTTTAATTTACACAAGTAAAATAAATGAGCTGTTAATTCTGTCTTGTGTACGCATGTCCTTGGGAGTTGATTGATTCGAAGGGGGAGGGGGGGGGGATGCGTTTTAGATGTTAAAATGTTATATTTAATTATATTAAACACATACATAATACTGTGAAATCAATCAATCCATTTTGACATATAAAACGCAAACAGATAATCAAAACGTTTTATGATTTAAGGAAGAACTCGACATTTACTATGTTATCGTTTATTTATGTTTTTTTTATAAACATATCGTTTATTTATGTTATTATGGTAAATTAAAATAATTTGACATCTAAAGGCGCAATCGGAAGAAAATTTGAACGTGAATGTGATGCATAAATATTCTTTCACGGTGGTTACAATTCGTTAATTACCGATCAAATTTACAAAGTCGATATGTAGAATCTTAATCAATTGCATATTTGTATGCTTTTAACCCGTAAAATCGTATGTTTATACTAGGCAGTAGGCGTGTTCCAAAAAAAAAAAAAAAAAAAAAAATAC